TGGAGACAAGTCACTGCCGAGAGAAGAAAAGGTAGTTCTTCAGCAGGCAGCGAGCTGGGATGGGAGCACAGCTTACTGGGTCTTGGCTGGGGCCAGCTCCGGGCAGGTCCTGGAGAGGGAGGGAGGATTTCCAAGCTGGGGCACGTGCGTGAGTGCACGTACTTTCACAGGGGTCTCACTAAGGACATAGGGGATGCTCCATGGAGGATGGAGACTGAGATATGACTGCTCAGAGTTAGGCACCTCTGTATCCTGAGCCCACACAGGTGAGGATAGCGAGAGCTCACAGGCTGCCATTTGAAGGGCCAGCCTAATTGGCTCATGCTTGAGGAGAGAGGAACCAATGCGCAAATAAAAAGAGGCAAGGAAATGAGTGCAGGCACTGGTAGTACCCTTTCGAAGCCATGCTAGTTGTCAGAGTTAGCTGGAAAGTTCTAGGACAGCCTCCCTCCCTGCTTTCCCTCTTGCCTCTGTTTTCTATTCCTGGTCCTCAGATCCTATTTTTAGCTAAATCTCCACTAACCTATCCTGTAGTGGAGAGGGCGCCCTCTCTCTAGGGGTCTTACCCAGAATGACTCCGCCTCCCAGCCCTGGAGCACAGACTGAGGCTGACACTGCTCTCTATCTCCGCCCTGGGTTTGCTCCTGCCAAGTTGCAGACGTAGTGGGCCCAGCTGGGAGGGATGCACTCTCTCCAGCCACGGGCTAGGGAAGTCCAGGTTAGGAAGGCTCCAGTCTCCCCTTGAAGCCAAGTCCCTCCTGATGAAAAGGACCCGCAACTGAGGATCCAAGGAAAGCCAGCCTTTTGTTGCAAAAATGAACTGCTGTCCTTAGTTTTGTCTCTGCAGACGGGTCTCTCAACTGGACTCGTGGGAGTCTGTAGTTGTTTTGCTGGATAATCTATAACAAATGATATAATAACAATAACCTATCATGACAACCAACTGGCGCTGAGTGCAAGGCACTGTTGTGTTTTGTAGGTATTACCTCATTTTACCCTCAGAATAATCTACCCTCTGTGTGCTCTACTTTCCCCTCGGCTGTGCTTCAGACAGAACCGTATTAGATTTTCCTCTTCCCTGGTCCCAGGACTTTCTCCAGGAAGCTACTTCACAGGCCTGAGAAGCCGCACGTGCAAAGACGAGTTCCCACACAGCTTCCTGGCACGGCCCCTCCTTAGTCCTCAGAGGAAAGGCGGAAAGCAGGCAATGACTAAATTGGGAGTGGAGGGCACGGCCGTTGGGGGTGGGCGTGGGAGGAGAATCAGGGCGGTGGTTTTTGAATATTGTTGCTGGTGGAAAAACCGGGGGCGTCTGGGTGGAAGTCGGGCAGCACAAATAATGCAGCCCGCCACCGCCATCTAGTGGAGGAAGTCAGGCTGCGGCGATGGACCAGATGGAATTCCAGAAACGGGAGTGTTCCAACATACAATAAGCCCCACACAGTAACAACCATGGTGACCCTATTCCTGCCTCCTGACAGAACCAGACCCTTTCCCCCTTCCTTCCTGTAAATATCTAGCACCGATCTGCAGAGAGGGCATCCCTGCAAAAATAAGCTCAGAACTAAGACCTGGCTCTGCATCCTGAGTTTCCTCAGTGTAAAATACGTGACCTCAGCAAGGCCCCTGCCAACCCTGACTTTTGAAGTCAGTGGATCTGAAACTTTTTTTTCTTTTTTTTTGGAGGCAGGGTCTTTCTCTGTTGCCCAGGCTAGAGTGCTGTGGTGTCAGCCTAGCTCACTGTAGCCTCAAACTCCTGGGCTCAAGTGATCCTCCTGCCTCAGCCTCCCAAGTAGCTGGGACTACAGATGCACTCCACCACATCTGGATAATTTTTTATTTTTTGTAGAGACAGGGTCTCTCTATTTCCGAGGCTGGTCTAGAATTCCTGGCCTCAGGCCATCCCCCTGCCTCAGCCTCCCAGAGTGCTAGGATTACAGGTGTGAGCCTGGATCTCAAACCTGAGCGTGCATCAGAGTCACCTGGAGGGCTCCAGAAGACACAGGCTGCAGGGCCCCACAGGTCTGAGCATTTGCATTTCTAACAGGTGCCCAGGGCATGCCGATGTGGCTGATACAGAGACCACCCTTGGAGAATCACTGTTCTGAGTAGTTTAGTCTCCCTGACGTGAGAAAAAGTGAATAAACAGGCATGTAGAGGGAACACCGAAATTACATAAAATAAAAGCCAAGGCCTGAATAATTTACCCATCAAAGGCACGTAAATGAGCCATGGGCCTCAAACGCTGGTGGGTCTGAGGGGAGGGCCATCCAACGCAGCTGCAGCGTCTTCCTGGGTTTGTCGCCTCTGCATCGGCAGGCAAACACTGATCCTCCACCTGGTGGGGGGTCGGAGGGCTGGCAGTTGCTGTGGAGGGGATGGGTGAGTGGAGAGAGTCTAGGCCGTATTTGGCCACGGGGAGAGGAGGACTTTTCTGAATGTAGGGTGACACAATGGCAAAGCTGCTGAGATATTAGAGGTCACCTAATGCAACTTCATGATGGAACTGACCCAGGAAGGTTAAATGACTTTCCCAAAGTCACACAGCTACTCAGTAGCTCTTTCCCTTTGAGTTTCCAAACCACTCTCTTCACAACCAGGTCCCGGAGAAATCTCACAAGGTCAAAATGGGCTCCTGAGACAGGCCAGTCCCCTGACGTTCTTCAGTGAGAGTCAGGCCGGTGCCTGTGGCCTCCTGGTCCGTGCCTCCCTCCCCTTCCGTCGCCCCTACCTTTCACCAAGGGGAAGAAGCAGTCCATCTCCACGCTGCTCCGGGAGTGGGAGATGCACAGCGCGCTGCTGGGGACCAGGCCCTCCTGGGGCGGGCTCCGCTCCGTGGTGCGGACCAGGCACCAGCCAGGCCGCTCGCTGGGCCGCTCCAGCAGCTCCACCGTCTGCCCCACCTGGATGGTGAGCTCGCTGCTATGGCCCGCGCTGAAGTCCTGGAGCACCACCGTCAACTCGCATCCGCCAGAGAGCTGGGGTGGGGGGCGAGGAGAACGTGAGGGCACAGAGGAAGGGGGAGCATGGGAGATGGAGGGTGAGAGGGAAGGGAGAGGGGAAGAGAAGGGAAAAAGGGAGAAGAGATGGCACTCAGGGTGGAGAGAAGGCCGGATATGGAGAAGAGGTCGGGAACAGGAAAGAAAACAAGAAAAGAAGTCATTAGCACTGTGCCATTCCATCACTCAGGCCTTCTAGCCACAGCCTGACACCTGCCCAGAAGCAGGGCTTCGATTCTAATTCCTTCCTGCTTCCTTAGTGTTCCTTTCTTTGTTCCTTTGCTAAGCTGCCAGCCTATTGTGCCTTTAAAGCCCTTCCCCGTATGTCCCTTTACTCCTGCCAAGGGCTCCACTGTGCCCTGTACCGGCACCTACTTCTAACTTGCTCAGTCTCACTCGATTCTAGGTGATGTCTGGGAATAACAGGAGGGACAACCTCCCTTCCTTCTAACCCCTCACTGGAGCCATTAGCCATTAGCCTAAAATAGAGGCTGCAAGTACTCCCCAAAAGGAATGGGGCTTCACCCAAAGTCAGAAGCAAAACACTCTATCTGGGAGGGAAATAAAGTTGCTTCACATCGTCTGAGCCACTGGGACCAGGGGAAGGGATGAGAAGGAAAGAAGAGGGGCCACGTCTTACTCAGGAACGTAACACCTGCGCCCAGTGCTCCAGGCATCTGGCTCATAGAACTAAGCAGAGTGTCCCCCTGGAAGAGCAGCTGTACTTAGGGGCAGAGTGAGAGGTAGGGAAGGGAAGGAATGAGAAGGCCGAGAGGTCCAGCTCGCCAGCCTATTATCCCCTAGAGCTCACCCCCAACAGCAATTCAGAGGGAAAGCTCCTGTATCGTCTCCAGGGAACTCGATTTCAGCCTGTGCATCTCCGATGAAGCCTTCAGGGCTCGAATTCTCTGTCCCAGTAGCCATAGTAATGCCTTAGTCCAAATACGTCATATACTATTCACACGCATTCCGGGTGGCTTTTGCCGAATGGTACACACAGCGAACATCACAGTGAGTAGAGAATCAACAGTTTCTCCAGGACCAAAAGCTCTGCATTCAGGACTGTGAGAAATTTTATAAAGGACTTGAAGTCAAAGTGGGCTGGCGAAGGTTAAAATGATGCATCGGATGGATGCCGGTGATACGCATCACCACCAGGCACAGGGCGTCTGTGCAAAACGCATTCCCATGGATGCGCACAGTACTGCCACTGGGATCAGACCAGGAAGGGAACTCTGTAGGACAGAGGTGGAAGGTGGAAAGAGACAGAAGAAGAAAAACATGCTTGTTGGCTCATTTTTTCCATTTAACTTTCCTGGTCCCGTTAAATGCACCCCCTTCAGATGTCCTTTAGGGAAGGATGTTTGTAGGGTGGCAATAGCCCACATCTGTAGAATGTTTTATGCTTAGCAAGATGCTTTCACATTAATTATCTGCTTGGGCCTCACAATACCCAGGTGGTATTATCATCTCCATCTCATATATTAGGAAATTCAAGCTAGAAATGTTAATATTAGGTTATTAAGTATGGAATGTCCGATTTCTTTAAGTACTAAGTTTGACAGTTGATATCTCTGACATTTCACTTTGACACTTCTTGTTTTTGTTGTTTTTTTTATTGTGAAGGTAAATCCCCATTCTTCCAAATGCACGTTTTGGCTTGCGGTATACTTTTACATTTTTTTAAGAGCAATTTTTGTGAAACCATGGATAAGTCAAAAATACACGTTATTTTCAAATAGGAGTTCTGTCATGGAACCAATGCAGCACAGACAGCTCAAAATATCATGAAGTGTTTGGGAAGGATGTGGCTAATGAATGTACAGTATGTCGATGGTTTGAGAAGTTCATTCTGGTGATTTTAATCTTGAAAATGAGCCATGTGAGTGATCTGAGACCAAGGTGGAGAATGATGAGCTGAAAGCTGTAGTGGAAGTGAATCCATCTCAACCTATGAAATTCCTTCTAACCCAGAGAATTTCCACTGCTGAGCCTTGGTGGAGCTGCTCCTCGGCTACACCACCAGGCACTCAGAGGTGCTTCCTGGAGTCAAGTATGCACATGGCTGGAGACACAACCTGCAGCCCTTTCAAGGATGGCCGTGGTCCTTTTGCAGATTGTTGAGGCAGAGCAGAGAGGGCCTGATGCTCAGGTCACAGACAGCGCAGCATGCTACCCAGATACAAGGCCCACTGGCCCCTAGAGCAAGTTACAACCAGATCCACCAGTGGGGTGTCAGGGTAGAGAGGTGGGATGTGGGGGACAAGGTAGCAGAGGATAAAGAGCCAGGCTTTGTGTCTCTACAATTCAAGATGCGGTTTCTGGAGAGAATCCTGGCTGCACCCCGAGATGGCAGTGTGACCCAGCTAGACCAACAAAGGAGGAAGAGGAAAGATGGTCAACTGGCAATTTCTTGGGTGTTCACACCTAATAGATAATTGTGCTCAAGCTTTAGAGGCAGCCAGAAAACCATTATGGTTCAAATACAGGATGAATGTCTTGGTCAAAAGGATTTACTACACCAGGTGCCCACCCCAAGGCAAGAAGGGAATTCCCACGAGTGACAGCCAAGGGAGGGCCTAGGAGGAATGGAGGCAGTGGCCGGGAAGAGCTGCCCCAAGACAATCCCTCTTTATCCTCTTCCCAGAGCAACGGGGAACCTTTAGGGTGCTAAGGGGACTCAGGGCTCCAGTTTGAGAAGCTTGAGGGGAACCCAGGACTGGAACCATATCAGAGAGTTCCAAGAGCCCTGCCAGTAGGGCACAGTCAAGGGCAGAGGGACCACAGACAGACCTCTGAGGGATCTGGGCACCCTTACAAGCCTTTTACTTGCAATGTTTAAATGTGATTCATCCACAGAGCAGCATCGTAAGCCGTCTCCTTGATTGTGGTGAGTCACATCTAGTGAAAGCTAATTCCACAGTGTGTCCCTCAGTAACCAATGAGAACCAAGTTCTCTCACAAATACTAAATTATCAGCCTCTTAGAAACACATGCTTTCGTTTTCCCTTCTGACCAGTTCTGGTCCTCAGTGTGGTCTCCAGCAGGTCTCCAGTCTCAGGAAGCCCAGGGGTCATTATTTTCTCTTTTTCCTCTCCATTTGGAAAGGACCCGTGAATGAGTTCCCACTCGCGATGTGATGCTCATTCCTCTTTGCAGCCTCGACCCCCTCAACCCTTTGTGCTGGCATGTCCAGAAGGCTCCCACTTTTCTCCCTGAGTGAAACCTCTGGTCCCAGGAATTTAAATTGGTTTTAACCAACAGCCTGTTGTAGAAAATGTTGCAAATGACATCTCTGTTTTTTCCTTTCTTTTCTTCCCCACAACCTAAATGTCTTCTTTGCAAATCATTAGATTTTTAAAAATATTTCTTGGTATTTGTTTTCTAATTTTCCCTTTTAGGCTCACAGAATATTCTTTTCTTTTGGCTTCATTTTCAACATTTCTTTTTCAGAGATGACCCCTTTGTGCTTTCTAATTTTCTTTTTCTGGCAGAGCTTGCCTTCCCAAAAGCCGCCCTGCGTGGGCTGATGCGACATGCAGCTTGTCTCTGTTTCCCCTGTTGACTTATTAACCCCTGAGGCACAGACAAGGAGCTGTAAGATCACTCCCCACTGACCCTCCTTGCCCCTTATGGACCACTTGGTCCCTCCCTGGGTGGAACCATTCACAGCTAGGGCAGCACAGAGGTACCCCAGTCTCAGCTTACTCTACATCTCCCACCTATGGACTTACTACATTTTTTTGTTTTGTTTTGTTCTTTTTGAGACAAGGGCTTGCTCTGTCACCCAGGCTGGAGTGCATCGGCGCGATCATAGCTCACTGCCACCTCGAACTCCTGGGCTCACACATTTTCCCAATTGAGCCTCCTGAGTGGCTAGGACTACGGATGTGTGCCACCATGCACAGCTAATTTTTTTAAAAAAAGTTTTTTAGAGACGGGGGGTTAGGGCAGTCTTGCTATGTTGCCCAGGCTGGTCTCGAATTCCTGGCCTCAAGTGATCCTCCCGCCTCAGCCTCCCAAAGTGCTGGGATTATAGGCATGAGCCACCATTCCTGGCCTGGATAACTTAAAGGTAATATTTCAAAAATTGTCAGTTCCTTGTATATCCACTTGCTCCTGAGTGCGCAGAGCATCTCCCTTACCACTCTCTATTCTCACTTCTCTGATGCCTATTGCCTGCCCTCCCCCTGCCCACCCTCTCACTTCCCTGGCTCTGAACTTTGACTATATTCATAACTTCTCAGCACCTCTGGGCCCCTCTTGCATGTTTTAACTGCTGCCAGTGTTCTGCCCACAAATGTTGCACAGGGCTCAGCCTCCCCCTTTTTACCTGCAGATTTCACCTTCCAGGCACCCATGTAGATGTTACACACGGGTAACCTGCTGACTGGCCTCTCACTTTGTATGTCTTTCTACTCACTGCTGAGCTATGCTAGTCCTCCAACAATCAGCTCCTCTCTTCCTTTAAATATTTCTCAAGAGAAAAGCAGGCCTTACTTAGCAGATCAGTTTTACCAATCTAATGTAAAAACCCTACTGTTCTCTTTAGCAGGGTCCCTGATTTCTCTAAGGTCATCTACCCAGTAGCCGTTTGGGTTTTTGTCCCTTCATGATACATGCTTGGGCCTAGTCTCTCAGTGCACAATGTTCCCACTGGATGGCCATCCTCTGGCTGAACCCGGGGGTCGGGGGGTGGTGTGGAGGGAGAGTGCCTATCTTTTCCTAACCCAGAGGTCAGATGTGATTCTCTGGACACCAGGTAGCCCTATTACACCCAGTTCAAAACTCCAAGACCATATCATATTAATATTTTCACTGTATATATTTTTATCATCTGCTATGGATGCTTAACTTCCAAACTATCAATTCAATCCTATTCCAGACCCTAAAACCAAACTTATTTCTACTCAGGAAAATGTAGGGAGTTGAGCTGGTAGCACAGAATCTCAGCACGAAGTCAGGTGTGTTTTTGGTTC